AATCTCAATTTATTAGACTTTGTTTCCCCTTTTCTTTTAATAAATAAAAAATAATTTATTTAATGAAATAAGTGATTAAATAATTTCTTATTTTTACAAAATTATATATATATATATACTAAAAATGATATTATTTTTATATTTTTCAACTAATTACTCATCAAAATAACGAAATTATAAAAACTAGTAGTATTAAAAAACTTATGTGCTGCTTATTTTTTTAAGAGAATTATTTAATTACTTATTTTATTGAATAAATAAATAAATAAATTATTTTTTATTTATCACATAATAGAATTATCCAATTAAAAGATGATACACAAAAAAGTTATTGAATGATGTATTTTGATTGTAGAATAATATAAAATTCTTAAAAAGTTTATATATATATATATATATATGTATAATCATTAGGAAAAATATTAAAATTATATTAATTATTAAAATTCTATATATATTTTTTTTTGGTTTTTCTAATCGATGAACAAAAAAATTTCAATCCATTCCTTAATTTTTAGGGAAGTATAACACTACTGAATTCATTAAAATTGTCTCATTTTTTAAAAAAGTTTTTAATAATTAACTTAGTGGAAAATTGAATTGAAGTTTTTGAAGTTTTAGGTTTTATAAAAATTTAATTTCAAATTATACAATGATTGGTTCTCAAATAGTATCCCCAAAAAATTAGTCCATCCAATTGCCCACGGACACTTATAGAAAATAGTATCAATTGGTTATAAATTAGTATCAATAGTGACTCAAATAAAAAAAAATGTCATATTATTACTTATAGAAAATAATATGTCTATTATATTTTATAATCAACTTGTAAGTATGGTTTTGATGATAAGTTACAAATTAGTAAATATAACTATAATTTTCTTATTACGTGCTTAAGAGTATAATGCCTTTCTTAACATAATTCTTTGAAATATTTCTTTTTCATACGTTACACTTAAATATAAGAACTTATTTTGTTGTAAACGTTTATATCATTCCCTAATTTGCACTAAGGTTCATTTCTGCATTTAAGTGAAAGAGACAAGTTAGTGAAATTCCTCTCTATCAAGGCACATGCACTTCCCATATTAAGATAATAAAAACCAAAGTGTTCCCTATTACTATATTACGAAAAATCAAATCCTTGAAAACAACAAATTCTATTAATGATAAGTGAAATAAACAATGATATCTTCTGCTAAAAGTTATGTCTAATTCAGCAAATTTTATAATGGTTGCATAGCAGAGCCTGATAGACACACTTATGTTATTTTATTCGTGCTACATGTCACTGAACATTCATGCATACAGTAATAAAAAAAACAAGAATATTCGTACAGGAACTTAAAAAAACATTCATACAGAGATTTTGTCTACATTACAGCATACATTAAAAATGCCACATTTTTATGATGAAACATAAGCGTAAACCAAGTTCCATTCTTATTCTTCCACGTACTCAAATCAAATTATATAACTGAACCCAATACTAAAAAGTTAAGACATATGTATAGTTTATTTTATATAAACAGATCACAGAGAAAGTGGAGAAATTTGACGCGGTTACTGCTGTACAAATAGCACGTACTTTGACCATTAGAGAAATAGAAAATTACATCATTGCGATATTACACACGATGAAATGACTCAAGAAAGGAATCAGAAGGAGTTATTTGCATGATCATCTTGGTAAACATCCAACTCTATAGGTCTTCATTCATCAACATAATCGCATTTAGATCCTTGAATCAAAAGTAGTATTTTCATTGAAATGATGCAGTTTAACACAGTTATATTTCTTAAATCAGACCAAACTAGATTATGGAACAACTGGTTTTTTTTAAAAGGCCATATCATTGTAATAAAAAAACCATTCAGGGCAGGATTAAAAGAACTTGATATTGCAAGAAGAAAGATTTGATCAAATACCTGTTCGTCTATTTCATTCAATATGTCATCCAAGGACTCCAAACTATTCTGCAGGAGTCCTTCACCGGACTTCATGCTCTGCAATACATACGCATCATTTGAACTTCAGTGAAAAATTAGAACTTTTACCTCACTACACAACTTGTGTGATTGATGGATTTACCCATCATTGGCCACCAAAAAGATGGCATCAATCAATTATGTTATTGTCAACTGTACTATTTTTTTTTTTGTTTTTTTTTTTTTGGTTCATAAGGCTGTTGTCCAAGGAACTAGTGGCCTCCATTAAGGGAGGAAATGACCAGGATGTATGGAATTGAAGGTTTGACTGTGTCTTGCTTGCAACCTCCTGGTTGATTGTGCTGGGGTGTAACACGAAGCTAATAAGATATTCCCAAGTAAGCCTTCTTGGTGCAGCATCTCACCTAGGACATCATCCTCCAAAGGAACACTGGAAGAAAAACCAACTGGACTGTTCCTACTGCAAAAATTGGATGAGGACAACTTAAAGTTATGCTGAAGTAGTTGATCATTATTGAAAACGTTACTGACAGCAGAAGTATTTGAAGGACAGGTAGATATCGGAGCTGCTTCCTGCCACCTTTTATTACTATAATCACCCCCCATTTTAGAATAACCAAAGGAGTTTGGATCAAAAGATTGTGTTTTCACAGCAGCAGCTCCAAAAGATGAATGATTTCTGGATGCTTCAGAATGATGTTAAAGTTGGGAAATTCCTTGAAAAAGTAAATGATTATTGGAGAGACCAGGAAGAGATATATTAGCTGCATTTCTAACAGTAGCTATATTTTCCGAGAAACTAGAGAAATCTTTAAGTGCAGCTGAGTGATCAAGTGGATTAATATTAAACCTCCTAATACCAGCTGCTGAGTTGTTCGGCTTAAACAGGTTAGCCTCCATTGATGTTGGAAAGCCTTGCAATAAGCTTGAGGTTTGATTTGCAGAAAACATAGACGAGTGCATGTTTCCATATGTTTTTATGGAACTGCTGTTAATGTTTCGAGACTGAGAAGCCTGAACAATTGCAGATGAGTTCATTCCTCTCGTGTTCAAGCAGGATGGAGAGTTTAACACACAAAACCTTCCACCAGGTGCATATGCATATGAAGGTGATGTGGTGCTCAACATAGCTCCTGATTCAGATGAAGTGCGAAAGCAATCAACTGAACCCATACGGTGGTAAGGATTGGGCTTTTTGAGACCGAGTCTGAATTTCTGTGAAACAAAGAAGCACAATTACCACAACACAAGATATAGAGCAGAGTTGTTAGTTCATTGTGTACACTGTTCATAAACTTTGATTGTTCATTTTTTAATGAATCATAAGATCTGAAAGATTTTCGTAACATTAATTCTCTTGTTTATAAGGAAAATTACCCACTAAGATAAAATGGAACTTTAGAGTTCATACCTGGAGATGGCTTGCTACGTTTTCTCTTGAAAGTCCATCAATATTCATCAAGTCAAGTATTTTCTTGGGGAAAGCCTCTGCATTAACAGTTGTAGAAACCTTACATTAGGAGCTATGAAATCCATAAAGGAGCACACTAAGTTCCAAGAAAAATTAGAAAAGTAACATGTCTTTTATCACACTCACTGTCAATTCCCAGCTGATTAATGGCAGCAAGAAATTTGTTATGCAACTCAGTATCCCAAACTAAACGAGTTTTCTTCTGATTGGAGGGTTCATCGTTCTCTTTGTCATCTTCTTCTATTTCCTCAGCCTCACAGCGTTCTTTCCTTTTATGATCCACTTTTATATTCTGGTTAGCATTAGTTTTTGGTGCAAAGGCTTGACTACATTCCCCAGCAACAGTGCATGGTTCCTCCTCATTTGCAAACTTGCATGCCATACTGCAGTCTTTTTCCTCACTTGCAGTCTTATTCTTATCCTTGCTGTCAATCTTCCTCCGCACTACATGTTGCCATATGTTCTGTAACTCTTGAATTCGAACTGGTTTGGTTAAAAAGTCACAAGCACCATATATGACACCTTTCATCACCCGTTCTTTATCACCGTACCCTGACAACACTAGATAACAACAAACACACAAAAACGCAAGAGTTTAAGTTCATAACACTATTCTGAGATTGATTTTCTCTCAAACTTTGCTTTGTGAAAACACAAAATATACTGAAGTTGAATGAATGTGAAGACAAAAAGTTTTTGTGCTTACTGATAACGGGTAGGTCCGTCTCAAGTCCCACTTGCTGAAGCAGCTTAAACCCATCCATTTCTGGCATATTCACATCACTGATAACAAGGTCAAACTCGTTTCTGTTTTTCCTCAGCATTTCTAGAGCCTTCACTGATTGAGTAGTTGCAGTAACTGGAACAAACAAACAAACAAACATAAATCTGATGTGAGATAAATCAAAGCAGACTCAATTGTCAAGCGCTTAATCAAACTTATTATTATGACAGGATTCATAGATATAAAATTAATGCTGCAACGCAAGAAAACCAGTCTTGAAAAAAAAAAGAAACTGTTTTTGGTGAAAAAGAGAAAGAACATCCCGGTCTTGCAATTGTCAACCACAAGGTATCCATGTCTCATTAGTCCAAAACTTCACATGGAAAGAGAATAATATGTAAAAGAAATGCAAGAATTTACTACTAGTAGGATGATGAGACGCAAAACCAATGCAGAATCGTGAATTAAAACAGAAAGATAACAAACCATTATACTGGCATTTGCGAAGCAGATTCTCCAACACTGTGAGATAAGTTCGGTCGTCATCAACCGCAAGTACACGCAAACCCACAGGAAAATGGTCTTCTTCCACCATCTTAATCAAAAACTAAATACCCAGATGAGGATAAAGCATTGTTAGGATAACAAACGAGTCACAGAGCAAAAAGCTCCAATCTTGACAACAGAAACCTTGTTTGCAGGGCCTCTTTGACGCAACAGACTAATAAAATATAACAAAGAAGAAAGACGGAATTAAGAAAAGGGTTGAAGGGAGGGTAATGCAAACAAAACAATAGAAATAGGCAATGATAGTGATGATTACCAAGAACCAATGAAGGATTCGATTCAAACATTAAAAGAAATATATATATGAAACACAAATCTTTATTCTTTTAGAATTTCAGTGAAAGTGTCTTTCTATGTGTCTGCTGCCAATGGCATGCCTCTGTCACCTGCAGTTAACTTTTACTTCCAACACAACAAAATTAGTCTCTTAGTCTCTTTCTCTAATTATTATTATTATTAATACCATTATTATTTCTTAATTGTCACAGTCAATGTTCAATATAAACACCATAATTAGGCTCCTTGTTACCTTTTTTATATTCAACGAGAGAAAACATATGTCTCTGTCTGTGTCCGGATTAATTGCATTATTATAGTATGAAACAAAACATACACGAGTGAGAATATATCTTACAAGAAATAAATATTTTAGTACGAAATTGTATAAACAAAATAATATATTCCTCTCTGTTAATTATTATACATAAAATCACCAACATATTGATTGATATGATATCTTCATGTGTAAAATATGTTCAGAAAAAATAACTAATTTTGGTAGGTAATTATATTAATTAAATCACATTCTTTTTCTCTCATTTATTTCCTATTACAGTTTTATACGACTATTTTTATTATCACAACTATGTCCCTTATTGCATTACATTTATTACTAGTATTATTATCTATTTTATTTACATCTGTTTCTTCTTTTAACCTTCATACATGCCGAAAATGACGCCTTATGCCATACTCAACATTTCTTATTTTCTTTTCCAGTTATAAATTTAATATATATGTATAATGTACTGAAATTATTATTAATTGTGAAAAAACAATGCTTATTATTATTATTATAATAGTTTGTCATGATCATGTCAATAATACTAATTTTGTTATTTTATTATCATTCTCTTTGTCGGCTAAGAATGGAATTGTTCTCTTTATGTCGTTAGCTTTTTGGACCAAGAAAACCTAATTAGTCTTTGTCTTTAATCATAATTATATATGTTAATAGCTGCGCTGAATCCAACATGGCCTCGTTCGAGTTCTTTCTATATTCAACAAAACCTTCTACAAGATTGATCATTCATTTTCTAAACTTCTCATTTTAATATAAGGTTTAATGTCTCGGTAGGTCCCTATTTTCGGCGTGAATCTCAAATAGGTCCCTTTTCTTTTCGGCGTCTCAATTGGGTCCCATTTTTGTAAAATTGTAACAATTAGGGGTCTGGCGTCAAATTGGACAAACGGCCGTTTAATTGTTTCTTACGTGGCATGAACAGTGTTTTCAGTAATGACACGTGGCATGATTCCCATCTGACACGTAAGAAACAATTAAACGGCCGTTTGTCCAATTTGACGCCAGACCCCTAATTGTTACAATTTTACAAAAATGGGGACACAATTGAGACGCCGAAAAGAAAAGGGACCTATTTGAGATTCACGCCGAAAATAGGAACCTACCGAGACATTAAACCTTAATATAACAAAAGTCTATACTCTACCACGCCCACCTATCACTCGTTCATAATGCTCATTATTAATTATTTTATCATAAATAATTGATTCTCTATAATAAATATTGATGTATTTATTTTTTAAATTATAATTTTAGTATACAAATTTAATTATGTTAATTTTATTTAAAATTTATTACGCTGTTAAGATAATTGAGCAATTACTGATTGTGTTTAATTTTAGTAATTGTCACGTGTATATTAAAACAAAAATTAATAATAATAAATGATTAACCTTTAAGGTGTTATGATAATTACTAAAATACCCATAATTTATTAAAATCCAGTTTTTCTTATCAAGAATGTAAAATGAATAGATTAGAAGATGGATGAGAATATGATTAGCATTATGGATTAGTTCTTGATATCATATTAGATTCTGAGAAGAGAAATGAACATAAATATACACAAATTAATGAAAGATCTGGTTTAGTCATCACTTACAGAAACTTCGAAAAATGAATTCCACAAGACACACATCACAAATATAAATATCTATGGTATTTTCTTTTATCACAATTTTGATTAAATATTTTTTCTCTTTTATAATTATATTCAAACCACTTTTAGGTCTCAAATTTAATTATTTTTATATTTTTATTTATTGTGATTTTTTTATACGAAAATGTTGAATAATAATTTTAAGTAAATTTCAATCGTTTGACTAATTTAATATTTATAAAGCTATTTATATTTCTAAGTGTTTTTTTTTTTAATTTTTAAATTAGGGGAAGAATGTTATATGTGATTTTTTCATTTCTACGTGAAATTTAAACTCATTTGGATTATTTTCAACAATCATCACACAAAAGCAGTGAATCTCTTTCATAATATATTTCTCCTGTCATGGTTGCGGTGTTGTTGGGTTATATTGTTGTTGTTACGAGAGTTTAAACTGACCACTTTATAGAACTTTGATACCATTGATATTTTTTTTTCTTTTTAAGATGAATACTTTTCATCTTATTATACTCTTAATCATACAATTCTTTTTTTTATTTCATTCAATGGTTATTAGATCACTCTTAATGCATACATACATTTTATCTTTTTAATATTTATATTTATTATTTATTTTTATCATGTATAACACTATTTTTTGTGATTTTTTATATAATTATATGTATATTGTTATAAATCTTAATTATCATCAAAATATCAAATATTTATATTTAAATTCAATCTATTATTAGTTTAATCATTTTTCTCTGTATCATTTTGTTCAAATGGTGTGTTATAAAATTTATTAGTATATCAAAAATATATTTTCATTAGAATTTAGAAAAAGGAAGTAAATAAAAATTTGAAATATTTTTAAAGGGTTATTTTGTTATAATTTTTTAAAAGTATTTTTTAACTTTATCAATTTTGTTACATTAATGCTTCTAAAATTAATAAATTTTATGTGTAGTTGTCTAATCTTTTATTTAATACTCTAATTTTAAATTTATACCATTATAATTTCTTTTCAAATATTTAACTTGAAAAAAAAACAAAAGTGCCTAATTTATTTATTGTGACTTTTAGTTATTTGTAAAAAATAATTAATAAATATTAAAATAGTAAGAAAATAAATAGGACACATTTTTCTGTTGGGTTTATCAAGGAGGGGGTTCAACTGGAGAGACATAAACATTAATGTCAACGGATTGACACCACTATTTATCCAAAACCTTAAGGCGACGGGTTAATGGGTCTTTCATCTTTATACAATGCTCTACTTTCTCATAGGTAAGACTTAGACTCACTTGAATTTCCAACAATCTCCCCCTCAAGTGTGAGTCCCTTCCACCTAGGTATATTCTCCGAAGCACTTCCAACCAACCACAATCACGAGTAGTTCTTTCCAACTGCATCTTAACAAGATTCGCTTACATGAATAACCTTTGCTAGGAAGACTTTCGATATAGGAATCATTATACTCGTCTGAGTCGGTCACCAAGACAAACTATCGGCTCTAATATCATCGTTGGATCTATCAAAGAGGGAGTTCAACTAAGGAGACGCAAACACCAATGTCAACTAAGTCTAATCATATAAGGGATTGACTCCACTCTTTACCCAAAACCTTAAGGCAATGAGTTAATGAGTCTTTCATCTTTATATAGTGCTCTACTTTCTCAATTTTTATCAAATATATGACTTAGACTTATACTTGAATTTTCAATAATTTATATATATATATTATATATATTTGTTTTGAAGACGAGGATAAATTCTATATCAATTGAAATTGAGGATATTGATGAATGTTTACATTGGATCATGGTGAACTAATGAACTCGTCTTTTGTCTTTTGCGTCGTCATTTTGCATCTATATTGGTTAACTAATTTCTTTTTCATACAAATTATATTTTAAATGCTAATAAATAGTATAATAGTATTTTATTTAAAATTAATAATTTATTATTAAAATATGAATCTTAAATTTTGGTAAAATTTATTTAATTTGAATAAATTAAAAATTAAGAATACATAATTAAAATATCTCATTTGAATTATAAAAAGATAAGAAAGATGTCACTCCAATATATTTTATCTTTCTCTTTCAAAATCGGAATACTGAGTCTATCCTAACACCTCTCACTACGTTTCGAATTGTAGTTGAAGCATCCACGTGGGTCTTGTGGTCCACCTATCTTTTCCTGTCAAAAACAATTGAAAGACTAAATCTTCTAATTGATACAAGACAAATTTCTTATTTCTAATTAAATAATTTCCTTTATTGTATCCGACATTGCANATTGAATGAAATAAAAAAAAGAATTGTATGATTAAGAGTATAATAAGATGAAAAGTATTCATCTTAAAAAGAAAAAAAAATATCAATGGTATCAAAGTTCTATAAAGTGGTCAGTTTAAACTCTCGTAACAACAACAATATAACCCAACAACACCGCAACCATGACAGGAGAAATATATTATGAAAGAGATTCACTGCTTTTGTGTGATGATTGTTGAAAATAATCCAAATGAGTTTAAATTTCACGTAGAAATGAAAAAATCACATATAACATTCTTCCCCTAATTTAAAAATTAAAAAAAAAAACACTTAGAAATATAAATAGCTTTATAAATATTAAATTAGTCAAACGATTGAAATTTACTTAAAATTATTATTCAACATTTTCGTATAAAAAAATCACAATAAATAAAAATATAAAAATAATTAAATTTGAGACCTAAAAGTGGTTTGAATATAATTATAAAAGAGAAAAAATATTTAATCAAAATTGTGATAAAAGAAAATACCATAGATATTTATATTTGTGATGTGTGTCTTGTGGAATTCATTTTTCGAAGTTTCTGTAAGTGATGACTAAACCAGATCTTTCATTAATTTGTGTATATTTATGTTCATTTCTCTTCTCAGAATCTAATATGATATCAAGAACTAATCCATAATGCTAATCATATTCTCATCCATCTTCTAATCTATTCATTTTACATTCTTGATAAGAAAAACTGGATTTTAATAAATTATGGGTATTTTAGTAATTATCATAACACCTTAAAGGTTAATCATTTATTATTATTAATTTTTGTTTTAATATACACGTGACAATTACTAAAATTAAACACAATC